CTAGGCGTTGCGCGCTTGTTTGCCGAGTGTTTTGGGCGTGACACTCGGCAAAGTGTCTAAACTTTGCCGAGTGTTGCGGCCTTGACAATCGGCAAAGTTTAGAAACTTTGCCGAGTGTTTTGTGCTTAACACTCGGCAAAGTTGAGAAACTTTGCCGAGTGTTTTTCCGTCGTGCACTCGGCAAAAGCGTCGTCACCGTGCCATCCCGTTAACGTTTTTTTGCCGACAGTTTATTTTTGCCGAGTGTTTATTGACACTCGGCAAACCATTTGCCGAATGCGCAATAAAAAACACTCGGCAAATAGCTGTTCGCCGACACTGTAGATACCGTGTGCTCTATGCTGAGTGTTACACTCCACTGGTGTAGCAAGGCTTTTTGCTCCCGGTTGAAAAACCCCTTTAGTCCCGGTTTCCCAACCGGGAGCACCAATCCGGGACTAAAAGTACCCTCCTTTAGTCCCGGCTTGACGCCCGGGACTAAAGGGGAACCTTTAGTCCAGGTTGGAAACACCAACCGGGAGTAAAGGGGGCCTCCAGGCCTGGCCAGGAACCGCCACGGGGCAGGACATTGAGTCCCGGTTGGTGTTACCAACCGGGACTAAATGTCCCTCTTTTTTTTTCTTTTTCTGGTTTCTTTTTTCATTTAATGATTAGTTTTCATATTAAAATACATTTTCGAATACGCTGCTAATAGTAATATATATGTGTACTTCGCACGCGTAAGTTTTCGTTCGAACTTTGTACATAAATAACAAACGAATATACGCGTACATGCATATATATATGATGATCATATATATACACACGTTATTTTATGTACATATAATATGTGCATACATATATATATATATATATATTACAAAGGTTTGATATATAAATTGTTTGTCCTTAGCAATTCACTCCTCCAGATTTGGCATCCATGTTTCGTTCTAGTCATTGTAGAACTCATCGTTGGGGTTGATAACCTAGTCATTTAGAAATTCTGCTATAGTCTCTCGAATTGCTTTAAGTTGGTCAAGTCGTATGACTCTTTCCCTCAACCATTCAGTCTTCAATAAAAGTTAAAGAAAAAAGTATTAATATATATATATATGTATGTGTATTGCTCATGTAATTACTTATACAAATGAGAGCAATAAAGAAATTGTAAATATACGATCGAAATAATATAAAGGAAAAAGTATTTATATACGTACTTTGAGTTGCTCTTCAGGAGTTCTCTTTGAGTACGCCATGATGAACTCGCAAACATAGTATCCACAGTAGTTATTACCCTGCTCCTGCCTTAGAACCCACTTTTACGACAAAAAAATCAATTAGGGTGAATTGAAATCATCATACGGTGTTAATTGAATATAAATGTGTAGTTATAGTACTTACTTTGTGTGCAATTACACCCAGTGGCGCTTTGCAATGTTTTATTTTTTGTTCCTCAATGAACCTTTTCCAAACCCTGCTCCCAATAAAATAAAAAAATAATTTAACCTTTAATAATTGTTGAGAGATCGGCGCCATTATATATATATGTTGTTATAGAGAAACTAAATTAATTACCCTTGTATAATATCTATCATGTCTTGATACTCCGTTTGCGGTTTTCTCAACGAGTCTAAGATTTTCAATCTACTATTGGCCATATCGATGACCATCAATATCCAGTGATTGCTGCATAAACATATATATATATGTGTGTGTGAGAGAGGTAACTAGCTAGTAAGGAAATATTGATGTCCCATATATATGATCGACATTAATTACTTATAATAACACTCACTTGAAGTTGTAGGGGAAGAGTATCTCCTTCTTGTCACATTGGTTCACTAAAAAATTCATGAGATTTCTCTCAGGTTGAGGCTTATAATCCTTCGGGGGGTTAGGGTGTTTCTATACGACATATGGATCAACGAACCTAACATCATTATCCTTTCTCTTTCTAAGTTCTGTCATCTCATATCTGCATACATGAAAATTGTGAATATATATATTGTGAATATATAATAAAGAAATTGGGAATATAGTAGAAAATAATCACACTCACTTGAAAATAATCCAGGTGGCATACTTGGTGTAACTCTGGAAGCTCGACATAGATAATGTCATTGCCACGAAAGTAATGGTGGTTTCTAATTCTGACAGAAAGATAGATTTGTCCCGCATCAGACGCCGACATGTACCACCCATTTAGCAGGTACATTTGCATACCCAGTTCACCTAATTTCTCTGGGTTGTATAGACTCTGGCCTGGTACAAATTTCTTGTAAGGATCCACTTCTTCACCTTCTTCCATTACAACTTCGGTTTCTCCGTGCTTCGTCCAACAAATATAGTTTGGCATGAAACCCGACTTGAACAAGTGTGAATGAAGAGTCTTTCAGTTAGCATATTCCATCGTATTCTTACATACGGCACATGGACAGCACATGAAACCATCGCGTTTGTTTGCCTCGGCCGCACGTAACAAAGAATGCACGCCGTCCATGAACTCTTGGGAGCGACAATCAGCATTGTACATCCAATGCCGACTCATCTGCATTACATGACATAAATACCGTATTAAAACCTAGAACATAATTAGTTAATTATACAACATGCATACCACCACAAAAGCTATAAATTTAAGAAAGCCTCGCTACAATGTAGACAATCCCAACTACCACTAAAAACACTAAAGCTAAAATGCACTTCAGCAGCACAAGGATTTCGCGACCAATCCCAACTAAAACAGACAGATCCCCTGTTTGTTCAACATCTTTGGGCTTATTCGACTAGATCACTGTCTCATTAGCCGCCATATCTGCCTGTTGTGCAAGATTTTTTTGCACGAGTTCAACATACTCTTCCTTCCAGTAGAAGCCTGAACATCCAGTGCCATCCCACTGAAATTAAAACAGAAAATTAGAACTTTAATCACGACCATCATGAAAATAGGTATAAACTAACCATAGTCATTAAATACGATAAAAAACTCACATTGCGATCCGGACACTCGTAGAAAATGCGACCCTTGTTGGGACCCTCCTTCTTCACTCGGTACTCCATCACAATCTTCGTTTCATCACAACACTTGCCGCATGTAATGAGTGGGAGGCCCGGCCTAAGTCACTTTGGAAACCCATGAGAGGCCGAGGACCCGGAAGCAGTTGCCATCTACTCTCTATACTCATTTTTTAATACACTATAAATTTCTCATTTTATAAACAAATAAAATTAAAAAAAACTCTAAAATTCTCTATATCTCTAAACAATGAAGTATGCTATGCATGCTACAAATGAACGGTGGATACTATTTTTTAATAGCTAATTTAACCTTCCTTTATGTAAATATGCAAGCTTGAAGTGATTTTGAGCTCAAATTGCTTACAAATGAAAAAAAAACCACAATAAAGAACCATATATATATAGTGAACAAAATAAGATAAGACAATGGTGAAACATGAGAGTATGAAGTTGGTAACCTTTAGAACTGAAGAATCGACGGAGGAATCAAAGAAATCGATGGAGGAATCGAAGAATGGATGGAGAAAGAGCAAGAACACTGCTTAAATTTGAACTGATGCTCTCGGGCGGGCTCGAGGAGGAAGAAGACAGCCAGTAGGATTTATAGGGGAGACCTTTAGTCCCGGTTGGTGGATCCAACCGGGACTAAAGGTCACTTTCCAGTCCCGGGCCACGCCACTAGCCGGGACAAGAGCTTTACTCCCGGTTGGAGCCACCAACCGGGAGTATAGGTCGACCTTTAGTCCCGGTTGGTGGCTCCAACTGGGATTAAAGGTCCCCTGCCACAACGGCCTGGCGCAGGAGCCGTTGGGCAGGGACCTTTAGTCCCGGTTGGAGCCACCAACCGGGACTAAAGGTCTCTCTAGTCCCGGGCGCAATATTTCCTGGGACTAGAGCCTGGTTTGGCCCTTGGATCAAAGGTCTGTTCTCTACTAGTGCTCGGCAAAGCATATGCCGAGTGTTTTTGGGCCTTTGCCGAGTGCTCCTAGCACTCAGCAAAGCTACTGTATCCCGCGGCTCAATGCTCTAAGGGCTACTACTATATTAATATCTGATTGTTTCATCTATGGTTACACATAAAATCTTCTAACTTCCTTAAATTTATGTGGCAACGCGCGCGGGGTATTCATCTGGTTTAACTAGATGACTCCTAGCTCAAATCATGTTTTAGTAAAGTATATATTCTAGTGTTCATTCTTCAAGTCATTTCTAGTTCACTAGCAATTTTTCTTAATTGCAAAAAATACCCAATTTTCTTTTCCACCATGTATCATTAAACAAATGCATGGATCATGTTGTGATTTTCCTTTATCCTCTACGATTATGAAAAGACTCATGGAGACTAGGTTGCACAATTGCGCTATGGGAGCGTGTAGAGCCAAGGGAACAAGAGTGAGATCGATCATGGGTTTATGCCTCCCATGGATGGTGAAAGTTTCTCCATGTGAAAAAGGAAAAAAAAAGACCAAAAGCAATCATGTTCTTATTAAAAGAAAATTACAAAAAAAACTTAGTGTTGACGACGAAATCCCTACGGTGACTTTATTAATCTCAGGATCTCATCTGCTTATTTTCTTGAAGGTGGTCATAAGGTAGAGGAGAATAGTTTTATTTTTACAAGAAACACACATAATTCCAACGGTACTACTACAAACATCTGTCTCTAAGGAATTCGAATGCAACATCCTAGAACTGAGGTAAGGATCTCTAGGCATCCTAACAACATTATATATTGGCACTCATCGTCACTTCACCATTCTTGTGAGTTGTACACTTGTACTATATATATGCCTTGAGAATCTATGTTATTAGGAAATGTTAATATATATAGTCCATTTCATATATGACTAAAAAACTTACATGCATATACTGATGATATACATAGGCATTCTTGCTTTTGGTATATTATGCATATATAATTCCCGCAATGATATGGCTAGGTCCTAGGCACACCTAGCTTTATTTTGTATCTATGTATATGTAAAGTCGTTTGCTTGCGCAGATTATTGTAACACTTGCTGATGGCCTACGCCTGGGCTCGGCACCGACCCGTCGGCTTGCGTCGTCCCCCAACGCTTGGCGACGGCGATCTCAGTCTTGCTGGCACTGGCAGGCGGTGCGGGTGGCATCAGCGGTGCCATATCTCTTGTCACATCTTGGGAAGCAGGGCTCGGTAAGCTCTCCTTGACGTGCGCTTTATGGCCTATGCCTGGGCTCGGCACCGACCCGTCGGCCACCTTCGTCGCCCCCCAACGCTTGGCGACGGCGATCTCAGTCTTGCTGGCACTGGCAGGCGGTGCGGGTGGCATCGGCGGTGCCATATCTCTGCTTGTCAAATCTTGGGAAGGGCTCGGCAAGCTCTCCATGACGTCCGCTTGATCTGCTCGTGCATGCCGGCGGTCACTTGGCGCCATCCTAGCTTGTAGTATGGACGACGACGCTATCAACAAAAGGAGGACGAACACAATTTTGTGTGAGGAAGCCATAAGAACTAACTCTGAAAGAGAGTCTCTTGCTACTATAAGCTGGCTATATATCGAGCGACTAGCTAGCTCGCTTGTTACACTTCTGTTGGTGCTAGTTGTGAGAGATAAATGTGTTTGTGTGTTTTGCAATGAGAATGTGAGCGGCTTGGCCATGTATTTATAGGCGAGGAGGGGAGAACGAAGCAGCAGGATGCGGCCGGCCAGCAAGCACGTGCAATCTCTCTGTGTGCGCCAGCTGCACACGGGAGTGACCTGGTCAAATATGTGATGCACACATCACCATCACATTTTCCGTAAGATTCAAAACTCATAACAAAAAAAAAAGTGCTAGCTGCTGTCCATGTAATAATAGTGCTGATGACGTGGTGCACTGTCAGTTTCCTGTTCTCCCTCAATGCATGCATCCGTTCGATCTCTGGTTCAAAGAACTTGCATGCATGATTCGAAATGAGAGGGAGGGGGAATGTTGAGTTGGTACTCTCATGAGATCGCCACGTGGAAACATGACCTATTGTGGCAAAAGCGTGCAACTCATTGTCCTCTCGCACTGTGGGCTACCTTCTGCGCTTTTGGGCACACTGCACACGCGTAGGACCCCCTCAGCACGATGCCACCATCCTGGCCGCTCCAATGCATAATAATACTATGTGTGAACCAGTTGTGTGTTTCTTTCTTTTATTAAGAGACCTCGTTTTGAACAACGTGCATCTCTGCGGTTGTTATATAAATCTTCATAAGTCGTTAAAATAATCGTGCAACAAGGTGTATATATATGTTCCGTTGCAAAATATAGATATATTTGACAGTACTGCTACAGTATCATCTATATCAGAGAAAACAAATAAAAATCATCAAAAACATTTTTAGTACACAACACCAAGCACTAGACTGAAGGGGCGGTCGGGGCTGGATCATCATTGTCATCCTAGGTAGTAATGAGAAACTCCTCTATTTCATCAATGGTCGTGCGTACGCGACGCTATTTCTTCTTTCATATGCATGCTTCTTCAATCATTGTGACCTCCCACTAGACCTGTTATGAACGGATCGACCTCGCTCTTTAGAGACCTCGCCAATTGGCGCGCAACCTCTCCCTCGACTCGCTTTGGGTCGAGCTTCTTCCTCCTTCAAAGCGGATTTCAGGTTAAAGACTCGATCTTCATAAGAGATCCCAAGATCATTGAACACCGGATTAAAGTGGCATCGCCCCAGGGCTGAGATCTTCGCCTTATCCTCCTTGGCAGTATATGATATATCTCTTCAGCGGCGTGCTCAACATATGAAACAAATGAGTAGTCATCTTCAAAGTCTTAAGGCCTCTGAAACTCAAGCACAGGACGACTATACACATAAACTTCCGTCAATTTTGTCCACCTCACGATATGGTCTAGTGGTTGATCAAGAGAGCAACATACTCCTCCATCAGATCATGGCTAGTCTGACGATGTGAGGCTGCCATGAAAGCATCGCTGGCCACCACTAAAGTGTCTACATTTATGTTGAAACCAGGCAGCCACGATGACATCGCTGCCCCCCTCTATCCATCTATCTAGAGATCCTTTCAGTTACTCTATAATTTGTGATCTTTGAGACTAACAACGTTTTCAAGACTATCATGTGTGTATTCTCATCGTAAGGAAAGCGGAGTCCCCAGAGATAAGCAAGAATATATGGCATATCTTTCAAGTGGTATCAACCTCAATTAGAATTCTTCAATTGGAACTCACTACGTGAAAAATAGTTTGTAGCAATGGTGTTGGAGTCGCCCCTACAGTGACGTGCTCGGGAACCCAGAGACTAGCCGCCCCCTACAAATGGAACAGTAGGGGCGGCTGGTGATACGAACCGCCCCTACAAATGGGTCTGATTTATAGGGGCGGCTCACTCACCAGCCGCCCCTACAAATGCCTCTGACTATATATTGTAGAGCACAGTAAAAAAAATATTCTCCAGCTTCTCTTCCCCTTCCCTCTCTCTCTCCTCTACGCTCTCTCCCCCTTCCGACGCGAGCAGCGGCCAGGGTGACGGCGGCTGGCGTGAGCGGGCCAGCGGACGCCGCAGCCGCCCTCCTCTTCCTCCACGCCTCTCCCCCCTCGCGCCCCTCCCCCCTTGCGCCGCAGGGGCGCGGCGACGGCTGCTCTCTTGCATCCTCTTTCTCCCTCCTCCTCTCGGTGACTGCAGTTTGATCTGTCGACCTGCTTCGTTGTGGTCGTCTGCCGTTTCAGCGCCGGGGTGGCCGGATCGGCATGCTCGTCGGCCGGATCCGGTGGTGGCTGGTCCGGGCTCGCCTCCCCTCCGGGCGGCTGTTTCCGCGCGGTGACGACCGGACTGCGGTCCTGCAAGCGCGGTGGCAGCTCGATCCATGCGGTGGTGACCGTATCTGAGGTCCTAGCGGCTGGATCCGTGGGATTGGCGGCCTGAGCTGCGCGGAGGGCGTCCGGGGTGCAGGAGCTGGCTGGTTGGGCCGTTGGGGCATCTACCTCCTCTTCCCTAGCCCCCTTCTCCTCACGTCCTCTTCCTTCAGCCGGCTCCAGAGGTAAGGGGCTTCTACCTACTCTGCGTTCTCGCACAAGCCGATGAGCCGGCTCCAGAGGTAAGGGGATTGCTCTAGTTCCTAGTTCCGACCTGATTTTGGCTGTTCCACCCCGTTCTCCTAGTCCGACGAACGCAAGGCGATTATGCATTTGTAAAAAAGCCTACCCCATCTGTTCCGTTCCTCGGAGTCAGATCTGACGAGTTCCCTATTGATCTCGCATTCCATGGCTCTATTTTTACGTGATATCGAAGATTCAAATATTTCTTCGACATTCGGTTAGTGCACATAGGTAGCGAGATAGTGCACATAGATTCTTGACATTTACATTTGCTACTATTTGTTCATTAAGAACAATATTTCCATATGATTGAGACCATTTATTACAAAGTGCATATAGTGGTCGATAGTAGCTCTACATATGTGGATACGTTTGGTTAGCTAGATAAGCAGTAGTATTGCTGTTATTGTACTAGATGACCTGATAGCCTCGGCAAATTGTTTAGGAGCGACTTTTTAGATGGTAGGCTTGTTTCTAAGGCGATTGCTCGAGATAAGGAGGAAAAAGAGGAAGATCCCAAGCTTGTGACAAGCAAAGCTGATAGAATTGCAGCTATCTGTATAATCTCATTAAATTTCATTAAGTTGGGGCAATGAGTCCATGCAAGTATAGTACTAATAAAGTTGTCCAAGAATTCTTCTTTGGTAATCACAAGTAGTATTCATAATGATAAATGCGATGAGGTTGCAAATAAGCGAATTCTTCCTATGAATATTCTCTCGTCCATTAATCACAAGTAGTATAGATAATGACTCTTTTCCCTACCAAATTCGATACATTTCTTTTTCTTCTTTGATTCAGTTCGATAAGGAGAGCATATAGTTCGAGTGATTAGCATGACACAAGCTACGCAGTTGCAAGCTAACCAGATTGGGAATATTATGGGGAAGTTGAGTATGTTTTTTCACAACTCCCAATTAGCAATTGTGTGCTTTATTGTTTGATTACTGATTGCATCATCACTTTAGTAAAAAAGCAATGTGCAGACTCGAACAATGTGCAGTATGTGGTTAAAATTAGTTCGTGCCCAGGTTTTGCCACTGATTTAGCCCTGCTATCTGTGTGGTTTTCCCACTTATTTTGCCCTGCTATCTGTGTGTTATTGTTTCAAATCATCTACTGTATGTTGCTGCCTTGCTGGCGCATATGGGATTCAAGTTCGCATGCTCGTGGCCCATTAACGTGAGGTTCTAAGTTTGGTCTTTGTGACTGTAATCATGTCTCTCACCATTTCAGGAAGGAGGCGGCCTATGTTCCTCTGTTTCTGTACAAGCAGCAGGTAAGATAACATTGACTCCAACTAAATATTTGTGTTCGAGAACTTGGATGCGGAACACTTACGGAAAGTATGTTCTTCCTACCTGTTTTTCTCAATGTGCTTTATTGTTGTGTGTGTACAACATTCCTAGTTTGGATTTCAGCAACCATGTGAATCTTGTATGAATGGTCTTGTCTGCGAGAAAATGTCCGTCAAGAGGGCTATAAATGATATGCTAGTTGAAGCTATAGTTTCTTTTACGATCTGTTGATTGTTGTTCTTTGTTAACCAAGCGCTTAATAACTTTCTTGAACTTCGACTAAATGATATGCCTTCTATTGTGATTTTGAATGTGCTCAACGTGCTCTCGGGACCTAGAGACCCGAATCGGAAGAGTAGGCCGGTGACGACAAGTTCCCCATAGCACAACTTGCGGCGCCCAAGTATTATTCTCTTATGCATAGTTGCTATTATTTTCTCAAATATTGCACAAGTTCATATTCCAAATGATGATGATGATGATACTACCTTTTCTTGTTGCATAAAGCGTCAAAATGCAGTGGGGTGTTTGTCTTCCCTGGCCCTTGCTCCAAATTATTGTTTGGATATGAGAATTTGAGAATAAGTCACTTGATAAAAATAGAGCCTGCATCAGTGATGATCTCAATACCGTCATAATATTTTGATCCCACAAGATCAAGTGGACGGCATATCTATGCCATGTGTATTTCAGTTCTAAAATAGTGAAATTCATGCCTGTGCGTTGCTAAGCAGTTAGCAGGTTGGGGCTTGCTATTCGGGGATTGCATATTTATTTTATATAAGTAGTATCATGCTAATTCAGGATAAGCCTACTCCTAATTCCTGAACAAACATTCTTTGATTAATATATGGTATGTATATGATTAGGTTATTCAGGACTACATTCTTTGTTCAATGATTTACAAATTCTTGATGAAGAGCTAACAATTAAAGCAACAAATCCTTGTGCAGAGGTAACCATGAAAGCAAAGAGCAAGCACATAAAGCAAGGAATTCCTGTGCAAAGCTAACTATTAAGCAGGAAGGCGAGGCTT